CACCTGGGAAGCTAACACCTGTCCCCTGTTATTGTTAGGTGCCGTGGAGATCAGCTCCCACCCACAGTGTCCCTATGCACGACAGAACAGCACACTGCACGGTCCCATGCCACCCTCACAATTGTCCCAATGCTGAACCCTTTGATACAGCATGGTGTCACTCCATCTCATTAAGGGTCTTCCTCTTTTCCGCCACCCTTCCACTTTATCAAACATGATGGCCTTCTCCAGGGACGGGTCTCTCCTGACCACAGGCCCAGAACATGTAAAATGAAGTCTTGGCATCCGTACCTCTAAGGAGCCCTCTGGCCTTTCTTCTTCCAACATAGTTTGGTTTGTCCTTTGAGCAGTCCATGGGATTTTCAATAGTCTTCTCCAGCACAATTCAAATACACTGATTCTTCTGCAGTCTTCCTTATTCAATGTCCAACTTTCACCTGCATATGAGGCAAAGAAGAATACCATGATTTGGGTCAGGCTCACCTTAGTCTTCAAAGCAACATCCTTACTCTTCAACATTCTAAAGAGGTCTTGTGCAGCAGATTTACCTAATACGATACATCTTTTGACCTCTTGACTAGTGCTTCTGTGAACATAGATTATCAATCAAAGCAAGACAAAATTCTTGGTAACTTCAACCTCTTTTCCATTTTTCTTGATGTTACCTATTGGTCCAATGGTGAGGGTTTTGGTCTTCTTTACATTGAATTGTAATTCATACTGTAGGCTATAATCCTTCATCTTCATCAGCAAGTACTTCAAGTCCTCCTCACTTTCATATCGCAGATTGTCAATAAAACTCCCTCCAATCCCAATGCCACATTTTCTTCATATGGGCCAGCTTCTCCGATTACTTGCTCAGTATACAGAAGAATCGGTCACTAGGACACTGTTGAAGGCAAGGATGCTAACAGAATTGTTGATGGGGCTAGCCTACCCAACAGCTCCATAGGAGAAATCCATGATGGGATCTTCTGTGAAGCAAGTAGGAAGTTGTGGAAAGAATAGGGTGGAATACCACCTCCTTAATGTAGTCACAGCTTTGACACAATTGAGGGAAGTTTCATTCAGGGTGTGGCTTCTTCTTAGTATAGATGGACACTGTGTGGGAGCTAGCTCACTCACTTCTGCTGGGTCTGTATCTTGCATGTGTTTCATTGACCTTCTGTTATATCTCCTGCTGATTCCAGGAGCCATCAGTAGACTATTGACCTCAGATTCATTCAACTCTGCATCCACCAGCCTATGCTCTTCCTGCTTCATCTCCTGCTTCCTGTTCGTCAACCCTTGCAGCTACTTCAGTTAATAGAAGCCTCCAGTCTACATTTGACTCAAGGATTTCAATTGGACTGGATTTACCCACTTCTATGACTCTGTGAGCCATTTCTTGATATAAATCTCTTTCTATATACATATGCATACAAGTGTCACTAGTTTTGCTTTTCTAGAGAACCCAGCCTAACACAACCTGTGATTATAACCCCATTTGGGAATGGGGGTTCTTTGTTACGGTAATGAGGCAGTATTTGTATATGGTTGAGCAATCTCCTCACCCTTTACCCCCTTTTTAAAGATACTGCAAAAAAGTAGATCAGGCACACAAGGGACAAACAAACAGAAAAGGGGGGAGGACAGATAATACGTGTAGATTACCCAGAACAGCACCTGATTTTGACCTTCTAGCCTCCAAACTGAAAGAAAATAATGTTATTTTTGTTAAAGTCACCCACTTGTGGCATTCTGTTGAAATAGCATCAAATAACTGGAACAACACCCTAAATTAAGAACAAGCTTATTTGAATGGAAACAATTTAACGTTAATAGCACACACATGTTCTGCTTTTAGAGGACTCCATTTCCCCCTCCTTAATGTTGCTGTTGACATAAATTACATCTTTATAATTGTGTGCCTAGTGACATAGATTAATAATTATGTTTACATATCTATCATTTGTATCATGTAGGACATAATAAATAGAGTTGTAAACTAAAAACACTGGAAAACCAGGCTATCCATTTACCCATGGAATCACCTTGACCAGTGACCTTCACTTCTTCATATAACTTTGAGTTCCATCTAGTGTCCTTTAATTTCAACCTGAGCATTTCTTGTAAGGGATGTCTATTGGTAACAAACTCCCTTAGTTGTTGTTTATGTGGGGATGTCTCAATTTTACCTTCCTTTTCAGTCCAGTTTTGCTGGGGATGGCGTTCTTGGTTGACAATTTTTTGTTTGTTTTTCCTGTCAGCACTTTGTAGGTGTCATTTCACTGCCGTTTGCTGCTATGCTTTCTGAGGAGAGACCCATGCGTCCTCATTAAAGAGCCCTTGTGTGTGATGAGTTTCTTTTTCCTTGCTCCCTTCAAGATTCTCCCTCATCTTTGGTTTCACCAGTTTGATGACAATATATCTTGGTGTAGAGCCCTTCATGTCTTCTATTTGAGTTCATTGAACTCTTGATGTGTAGAATCTTGTGTTTGGTAAAATTTGAGGAGTTTTCAGTCATTCTTTCATTTAAAAAAGTGTCTACCTTTCTCTTTTTATCTCCTTTCAGGACTCCCTAATTTGTCCATTTGTTGCATACATTTCTTCAGCTCGGTTCACTTTTGTGCTAGTTAACTGATTTATGTCAACTTGAATTTTTATGGAAGCGTAGGGGTGGAATCTAACCTGTCAATCAGACCACAGTCTGATGATGCCTCTTTGGGGGGTGGCCTTCTCATAAGGAGGACCCTGGCAACCTCCCTCTTTCTCTGCCCCTGCACCTTCCCGCTGGCAACTGACCCTGAGAGCTTCTAGTGCCCGGCCATGTTTCCACCAACCTTGGATTCACAGGACTCTGCACCCACCACCTGTGATCTTCCTGCATTCTGCATCATTGCATGTGGCTGTGTGAGTCTCCAGTGGGACTTACGTACTCGTGCCTAACTAATAGCCTTGAATTCGACTGGACTGGGATGCCTTCATCATATATAATTACTTCTAGATAGAAAGCTCTTTCTTATAAAAACAAGGAGGTACCCCGCCCAAAACATTTTTTCCCCAAAGCTTTGTATCTTATTTATTTATTTTTTTACTAAACAACCTTATAATTTTTAAAGTTCTCGCCATTATACTTAATACATTTGTCAAATCTGCGATTCCATTTTTGGAAACACTTTTCAAACTCATCTGTTTGGATGGCTGACAGCACCTCCCTCAGTTTTTCACTTCACCTCATCCACATCATCAAATAGGCATGTCCCTCTGCACTCATGGAAACAAAAATAATTCACATGGAGCGAGGTCAGGTGAGTAAGGTGTGTGGGGCAAGAGAGGCATGCTGTTTTTTGCTAAAAATTGGCACACTGAGATGGCTGTGTGCAGAGGTGCAAAACCAGTCCCCCATCTACTACAAACCAGTCCTTTTTTGTTGCACACTGTTAAGCTATCTTTTCAGAACCTCTTGTTTAACAGAAAGATTGATTAACAGTCTGACCTGGTGGAACAAACTCTAAATGTACTGTAAGTTGATTTTTTCACTCCTTTGGAAAGTTAACACATCTAGAATGAGGTTTGTCCTCAATCGACATTTCACCTATTTTGAGATGAGACAACCGCTCGTAAACTGAGTTTTTCCCATAGTGCTGTCCTTGTAAGGTGTGTTCAACATCACAACAGTTTCTGCAGCATTTTTTCTGAGCAGGAAGCATAATTTCATAGCCGCACACTGTTCTCTTAAAGAGGCCATCACAAAACACACAGTTTGAGTGAAACTGCTTTCACAAAAATATGACTAGAAAGAACCTTCCAAGGCAACACCACTGGGCGCACTAACTCAGGAGTGAGTTGCTTGACACTCACCTAGCGAGAAAAATGCATACTCTGAGCTCTGTCCAGCGGAGAATTTTTCCTTTTTCTGGGGGGGCGGGTACTTCCTCATAGATGATGTTATTGGATTTGTTTCTCTAGACACCCTGGCCTAACACAACTTTCCTCATTATTTTTTTCTTTTTGTTCATTAGTCTCAATAATCTCAATGGTCTATCTTCAAGTTTACTAATTCTTGTTTCTACCAGGAAGTAGACTGTTGAATTCCCCTGGTGAATTTTTCATGTCTGTTATTGTACTCTTCCATGTTAGTATCTTTTTGGGTTCTTTAAAAAATTTTTTAATTGAAATTTTCATTATGTTTCTATATAATTTTTCATATATTTTTTTCTTTGTTTTCCTTTCCTTCTTTGAGACTATTTAAGAGAATTGTTTTAAAGTCTTCATGTAGGAAGTCTAATGTCTGGATTTCTCAAGGATGTTTTCTGTATAGATAGATAGATTATATATATATATATGAAGATGATATATACATATAAGTAGATTTTATAGAGATATCATTTCAATGAATGGACCATCTTTGTTTCTCTGTAGGCTTTGTGATCTTTTGTTGAAAATGGTACATTTGAATGATATAATGTGGTAATTCTGAAAACTAGCTTCTCCCCCTTCCTCAGGGCATTTTGAACCCTCCCCCTCTTTTGCACATTCTTTCCCCTTGTCTTTTATTGTTGATAGTTCTCATAGTTGTCTGTTGGCTTGGTGATGTTTTCAAGCTGGTTTGACAAAGACTGAATTCCTTTACATGTTGATGAAAGTGTCTCTTCCTTTAGCTTGTGTTCAGCTACTGCCATGGCATACGTTTGCTTGCACAGAAGAATTTTTAAATTAAGAGAAAGGAAAAGCAATAGAAAAGTGTTTTTTAAATCACTCTTGCAATCTTTGTGAATTCACTCAGTGTTAGGTTCTTAAAAAAAGACCTAACCCGGTCCTTCATCATTTATGCAGGTTTACATAGTCCGCTATACCGTGGAAGCAAGAATAAAACTAGGGCCCACTCCATAGGTAATGATAAGAGTTAAGAGAGAAGGTAGTTGTAGAGCACATATGTAGTACCTAGCACACAGTAAAAGCTCTGTAAATACAGTATTATCTAATTAGACTACTGTGAGAGATAATTTTTTTTTCTTGACTGTCCCCACACTTTCAGCACAGAATCATCCACAACCCTGTTTCCTAAGCTGGGGTTTACTCTCAGCTCACCACTGGGTTGCACCAGCCAGCAGAGAATGGTCAGGTGCAGTAGTGAGTGGCTGGCTGTGATAGCTAATTTTATGTCAATTTTGCTGGCCTATGATTCCTAGTTACATAGCCAAACACTAGTCTACTTGATGCCATGAGGTAGTTAGATGGCCATGGGGGAGCAGAACATAATTTAATCTAATGTTAAGTAATTAATTAGTTGAGATAAAGCTAGGGTGGAGTGGATTCTAAACCTAATTACTTCTGAGTTCTACAAGACCAGACTAGGCACAAAGCCATAATCATATGGTGGGGGGGAGGGGGGGAGGGAAAGGGGGAGGCGACATATGCTCTGTGAGGACAGTCTACAGGCAAAGTAGCAGCACTAGAGGGAAGGCCACAGACAGACCGGACAAGTCTGTAACCCTAATTTAGACTACTAGCCTTTATAGCTGTGGGAGAAAAACGTTCTATTGTCTAAATCCACCCACTGTGGTATCTCTGTTATTGCAGCATATGTCGACATAAAGTTCACATAGCATATAATTCAGTGGCTTGAATATATTAAAAAGAGTTGTGCACTTATTACCACAATCAGTTATACAACATTTTCTTCATTTTTGTACTCATTATTATTAGCTTCTCCCTTTCTCACAATCTCACTTGCATACCCCTAAAAAACTACTAACTTAGTTACTGTCTCTATCAATTTACCTGTCCTGGATTTCATACAGAGAATTATACTAAAAAAGAAAAAAAATCAACAACAATAACACCACAAACAGAAAATCTCAATTCTAAAGAAAGCAGAAAATAGTAAAATCTAGGACAAATTAAAAATGGGTCAAAAGGTAAAACAAATGGTAAGATGGTCTATTTTAATCTACCTGTATCTATATTAATTAACCTTCTCATGCACTCTGAGGGGAAGTCTGTTCACAACCCTGCTAAATGGTCTGAGGGAATTCAAAGGTGGCTTTATCCCCATTGGCTCTCTGCAAATAGATTTTGGGCTTTCACTATCTTCTGTAGCCTGCAAACTGAGTGCTCAGAATTTAAGCTCTAGTGCATTTTCCTCCTCTGATCTTTGATTTTGTTACTTACGATCAATCCATGGATTACATAGGCTGATGTGCATTCTCCATGTGGTCTTGGCTGACACCTCACTTATATAGCTGCTTATTGTAAGACAAGCTCTCAAGACCTCATGTACTTTTCTTTCCAAAAGCTAAGCACCATCTGATTTCTTCATCATACTTTGCTATAACACTCATATCTTCAGTGATCTCTTCATGAGGGAAGTATTAAGTATCTTAGGAATCAGTTAGGATTTACAGTTAAGTGCATGCTCAAAATCCATTCATATACCTAAAGTATATATATAAAACCCTGGTCTCCTTTAGTGGCAGTATTATCAGCTTTTTGAGAGTTAATATAAGTAACTTCTATGTGGCCTTTGGTAATTCTAATAACAATATTGGTTAACTAGTCACTGGTAATGAATTTAAATTATTATTGAGATGGGGAAAGATTTACATATAGGAAAATTTTATATTAAAATATAGGGAATGTATATTTATCATAAAACAAACAAACTCATTGTTATCCATAGTAGAATGCACTATTTTTTCTCCTGTAGAGAAACTGATAGTTTCAAACTGCACCAGGGCTCCTGTTCACTTATACATATTAAAAAACTTAAGTGACTGAATCCTGTTTAAGAGAACAATGAGGATTGGATACAGGGCACAAAGTTTAATAGCATTCATTCACTATAGTAGAACTATGTCTGCAGAACGAAGATATATCTTGAACAGCTGAGAAAATATGAACTGGCATATATATATGTAGTCTTATGTTGCCTATTGTTGGGCAACCTCAAAAGCAAGAGGGTTGAAGTGAAGGCCAATGACTTTCAAATCCATGACCTTGGGATATCAGTCTTCCTCTTCTTCTCCCACTAGGATATTAGAGCTTTTCCCCCGTCTTCCAATTCCACAACTTCTACATGTTTAATTCAGTGCAAGAGTATAATTGATTATACTCTTCATGTTGTACAACCTTGATTGATTTCCTTTTCCAAATTATTCTACCACCTTTAACATAAAACTCAAAGCTCCCTAAGCAACAACTCTTTCTCCTTCACCCATGGTAACCAGGGGTCAAATTTGGTTTCTTTCTGTTTCTTCTAGTAGTTTTCTTGCTATAATATCTACATATCATACACTTCCATGGTTAAATCGCTTTTAAACTGAGTTGTACACACATCATCACAATCAGTTCTAGTGCTTCCTCCCCATTTCCACATTAGTTGCCCCCACAATTCCCTCCCCCTCCCCAGCTCCCACCCCACCTCCTCTACGTCCCTGATAAATCATTGCATCGGTTACTGTCTCTATGTATCTTCTCCTTCTGTGCGTCACAAACGAGGAAACTCGACAGAAATAATCAAAACAAAACAAAATGGCAAGAAGAGATTAATAATATAAAGACACAAATACAAAGAAAGAGTAAGGGAGAAAAGACCACCATCAATATTTTAAAAGCAGAGATGAAATTTCTGTGGTGGAACAAGCGAGAAATACTTGAGCCTAGAGCAAATTCATAGTGAGCCCAGAGAGAAGTCAATGACCGAATATCATATTGTATCATATTGGACGTTACAGCTTTAAGTCCAAAGGAGTTCTTATCATTTCCTCTCATCTGCAACAGGTTTGTTTCAGATAAAGTTCAGTTGCACGTGGTGGGTTTTTTGACTTGCATCTCTCTGATGTAATCTGTGTAGTAAACTGTATGCCTCTACAAGACAAAGTCTACAACAGTGGTTCTCAACCTTCCTAAAGCCGTGACCCTTTCATACAGTTCCTCATGTTGTGGTGACCCCCAACCATAAAATTATTTATGTTGCTACTTCATAACTGTAATTTTGCTACTGTTATGAATTGGGTGACCCCTATGAAAGGGGCTGTGACCCACAGGTTGAGAACCGCTGGTCTATAAAGTCTAAGTAATTTATAAATGAGACCTAGGTCACCAAGGACAGAAAAGAATCTCAGTTAAATGTGCATGATTAACTACATAGTACAGGCTAATTGTACAGTATAGCTATACAGCTATACAGGCTAGTTCTCCCCTTTGGGGTCCATAAAAGTAATATCAAGTGTTTTTCCCAAGGACAAGGCACCCTCTTCTCTACCTACCAATAGAAGTGAGATAATCTTCTTTGAGACAGACAGATCCCCGCTGCTCTTGGTCATGCATCTCCACTGGCATGTATTGAGCACAAGTGTAGAAGTGTCCAACCAATGAGGGTAACCATAGTATATTGCCACTTGGCATGGACTATGCAGTTACATAATTTTATATAGGGGAGGAGTCTAGCCTGTCAATCAGGTGGTACCTCCTTATGGGTGTGACTTCATAAGGAGGGTCCTGGGAACCTCCTTCTCACTCTGTGCCTTCACCTTCCTGTTGAGGAGCCATGTGGAGACCTGCGCAAGCCTTGGAGATGTCCACAGCCAATGGATCCACAAGACTTTGCACCCCCTGGCTGGTGATCTTCCTGTATTCCGCATCATTACATGTAGCTGTGCGAGTCTGAAGAGGGATATATGGACTAGTATTGGATTTATGGACTGGATCTAGATTGGGCTGTGTATTAGTCTAGGTACTTTGGAGAAACAAATCCACAGCAACTCGTGTATAAGAGAGAGTTTTATGTAAAGAAAGTGTGCATCACGAAAACATCCCAACCCAATGCTGCCCAAGCCCACAAG